TGCTTACTTGTTTAAATGAGACCTGTGAGGCTATCCTTAACACTGTTGCGCCGTTAAGGCCCAGGAGGGGAAAGCGTTCGGTAAATTTATGGTCAACGGACACTACTCGTGCCGCAAGAAGGACATGTAGAAAATACGAGAGACAGTGGAAGAAGGATAATCTGCATGCTTCCCTAATTGCTCTATGTGACAGTTGGAAATCATACCAAGAGGCAGTTAGATCTGCGAAATTTGCATATTATTCCAATCTCATTTCTTTAAACTCAAGCAACCCCAAAGCACTTTATACAGCAATTAACTCAGTTCTGAAATTAAATGATCATCATGTGCTGCAGGCTTCAGCTAAAACGTGTGATGAGTTCCGTGACTTTTTTATTGGGAAAGTTGCTGCGCTCCGGGCCACCATGTCTAGGGCACCGGTATGTGGCCGTTCTGCTACTGGCATCAGAGGTTTGGTAGCATTTCAACAAATTAGTCTAGGTGATTTGATCAAGATCGCTGGGAAGGCTAAACTGAGCGGCTCGCCGGATGAAGTGATGCCAACGCGCCTCTTTAAAGAAGTCTTTCCAGTGGTCGCCCCTTTAATATTGCACATAATTAACATGAGTCTCAGTTCTGGTATAGTCCCTGACGATTTCAAAAAGACGGTTATTCAACCTTTGCTCAAAAAGCCTGGAATGGATGCTTCGCTGGCTGCAAACTACAGGCCCATTTCAAAACGTCCATTCTTAAGTAAGGCACTAGAGAAATGTGTTTACCACCAGATCTTGGTTTTAATGGATGAGAATACCATTTTTGAGACTTTCCAGTCTGGCTTCAGAGCTCTACACAGCACGGAGACTGCACTGGTTAGAGTGCTCAATGACATTTATCTAGTGACTGATAGCGGTAATTCTGTGTTGTTACTTCTGCTGGACCTCACGGCTACCTTTGACACGATAGATCATGAAGTGCTGCTTCACCGTCTACATCATTATGTCGGGATTTCAGGGTTAGCCCTAGAGTGGTTTAGATCATAGCTGACAAATAGAAAAATGTGTGTTAGGATGGGAAGTTATTCCTCAGAGTACTCTGATCTACCCTGGGGGGGTACCACACGGCTCGATATTGGGACCTCTGTTGTTTTCTGTTTACATTCTGCCCTTAGGTGACATCTGTCGTGAGCTTGGAGTTCAATTCCACCTATATGCTGACGATTGTCAGCTGTACCTGCCTCTGAACACGTCAAGTGGTCTCTCTATTTCTATTCTTACTAACTGTTTGAGGGAGATCAAGACCTGGATAAGTGAACATTTTCTGAGCCTAAATGATCACATAACAGAGGCTATATTATTTGCTCCAATCATACATTGTGACTCTTCCCTAACTGACTGTGCATTCAATGGCCAGCTGACTACATCAGTGACTAATCTTGGTGTTAAACTGGATAGCGCCCTTAGTTTTGACACCCACATCAATGGCATGATCTCCACCTCCTTTTTCCACCTTCGTCAGCTGGCAAAGATCAAACCATTTTTGTCGCGTCATGATCTTGAGACGGTAGTCCATGCTTCTATTGCGGTGCAATTGGACTACTGTAACTCTGTTTTATTCGGTGTGAGCAAGGGCTCAATAGCCAGGTTGTAAATGGTGCAGAATGCTGCTGCCAGATTTTTAGAGGGCAGGCGCAAGTATGACCACATTACTCCTGTCCTGGCTGCCCTTCATTGGCTGCCCATTGATGTAAGGATTCGTTTTAAAATACTCTTATTGGTCTTTAAAACATTAAATGGTTTGGCCCCTCCTTACTTGGTGTCACTACTTCAACCGTACACCCTTGCACGGTCACTCCGCTCGGAGAACCTCATGCTTCTCTCGGTCCCAAGAATGTGCCTAGACATGTAGTGATAGGGCCTTTGCTGTGGCAGGTCCTAAGGTTTGGAACGAGCTTCCTCTCAGCATAACGCCAGGGACACACCGGCCGCGGAAGCGCAGAGAAGCGAATCGCTCACGAAATTCGGCCGCTGCTCGCTGCTCCTTAGTTCAGAACACACGCGCCCCAGTCGAGGCGCGCCTCGGCTCAGCTGTAGTTTTTCTTTTAAACACTTGGTGTCCTCCATTTCCTCTCTGCCTTTTCTCAGCTCTTTTCCTCTACGTTTGAGTGTTTGTACATGTGTGCGTGTGTGTGTGTGTGTGTGTGTGTGTGTGTGAACCTATGGTATGAGTTGTTTCTGCCAGTTGAATCTCTTGGAACCCGCTCCAGTTCTGCAGCTGTATCCTAGCAGTTTCTTCTGAAATGGGTACGTAAATAAACGTTTTTCGGGGATCGTACAGCTCCTTGTGTTTCTCAACTTCCATAATTAATTTAAAGTCATCCATCCTAACTGCTTGCCTCAGACTTTCTGCCTCTCTGTCCTGTTTGCTCCGGTGAAAAGACACCCCAAACCACACCCCCTTCACGTGGTCACACACGCACACAAGTTCGATGTGTGTGTATGTGTGTGTGCGTGTTTGTGTGGTTTTTCTGCAGTGTCTGATTACGAACACATTTGACTATTGCAGAATTTTATTTTGAAATGCTTTATTTTGTTAACTTTACCGGCCTGCCTCTTATGTCTAGGTTTGACTTCCTGCCAGAATTGACGCGATTCACCCGCGGCTCGCGAAAAAAATAGAGCCGACACCGAAATGATTGCTGCACGGCGCGGGCTGGAGCGCCGGCACGAGGCAATTCGCAGCGCTTCAGCGGCCCATGTGGTCTATAGAATAGCTTAAAGCCGGGCGTACACTGTGCGACTTTTTCACTTTTTTGAGCCGATTTTCCAGTCGTGCGAGAATCCACGACATCGGGGCGAGTTTTGCGCCGAGCGGTCGTGTAGTGTACACGGGGTTACGAGAGGCGATTAACACCACGTGACCAGCTGCCGATCAGCAATCGTGAGGTCGCACAGACTTCTGGCATGTTTAATATTTCGCTCGTCCCTCGTGAGGGTATCGCACTGTTGAAGCGGTGCTGCGAGCAGCTGCGACCCAAAATGTATCAGAACCGCTCACGGCGCATCAACGCAGCTCGCTCGCTATTTCCCTAAAAACACGCTGTTCATTTTTGTTTCTACACGTTTTTTTACTCACAAAGATTGTCAAGAAAGCGTGTTTGTCGTGTTCATGTCAAATTAAACTGATCACAAAACACAAATTTACTTTCTTTATTTTGTTTTCCTCATCCAACCCCCATAAATCCCTGTGTGTCCTCCTGCAGCGCTCCCGAAGGACAACAGGCAAAACAAGACAAAAAAGTCTGACGTGTTGAGTAAAAACTGCTATTTTTAGCATATTTTTAGGGCCGACGTGTTGCTACCAGACGTACAGTGTGAGCAGTCAGGTCGCATGCTAGAACTGGGTCGTGCAGTGTGAGCACATGACTCGTGAGATCTGCTCTGCGAGGAAGTCGTACAGTTTGAGCTGAAGCTGAACGCTGCGAGTGAAAAAGTCGCACAGTGTACGCCCGGCTTAACAAGGGCGCCGAATGAAGGCGGTCCCATTTTCGCGGCGCTTCTGCGGCCAGTGTGTCTCCGGCGTAAGGACCTCCACTTCTGTTGCGGTTTTTAAGGCAAGGCTAAAAATCTACTTTTATGATCTGTCTTTTAATCTTTTGAACTAGTCTTATTGTTTTACTTACAGCAATCTGTGTACTCACTGTATTTTTTATCTGTATCTTGTGATACAATGTTTTTATTTTCTGGACTTAATGTTTTATGTTTTTACTTGATCAGTGTAGCGCCTTGGTGGCATCTTTTTGCCTGTAAGGCACGATTTACAAATAAAGTTAAAGTTGAGTTGAGGGGAGTTATCGCTTCAGCCTCACGGGCTCAAGGGCACTTGTATTGGGGCCAGACAGAGATCATTTCCTCTCTGTCTTAAAGTTCAGTTGGTCCTCAACCCCTCTAAATCCAATAATGGCGTAATTAATCAATCCCATCCCGCGCTGACCCGTCAACTTGCTCCTTGATCGAATCAACCTTCTGTGCCAGAGTCTGAATCTCAGCCAAAGTTCCAAGCTTACGACTCATCTCGACAATTATATGAGTTTGTGCATTCACAGCGTGGTGTAATCCATCCCTGAGCTCCAGGATTGAGCCAATAGTTCTCGACAGCTCATTAATTTTCTGGTAAGCCAGATAACCACACAGGCCAAAAAGCAGGAAACCTGACACCAACACAACAAATATCCAGACGTCTTCAGAATCCTCTACAGACAGTTGGGAGAGGCAGATCAGGTTCCACTGTTTCCAGGAGTCCATGGTATGCCCAACTGGCTCTGTCCCAGAGGGGTACCCGGGAGCTCCTTCTCCCGTTCTCATCGTTGAAAAAAATCTTGTCAATCGCGTTGAGAGACCAACTGACCAGGTCCATGTTTAATCATTTCCAGTTTACAGAAAAAATGCAGAAGCGCCGTGCACCCAAAGACAGACAAAGAGCCTTGGGATAAGATAGGGAGGAGAGGAGGAAAAAAGCGTCTGTACTCTCCAAGAGCCGGAAGAAGACGTCATCAGCAGGCGCAGGATCCCAAGCAGATCCAGAAACTACGGCACCACTAAACTAGCATCAGCGTTGGATTCTCTCGATAGAATTAACCATCACAGTCGGAGGAGTCACACTGAGGTTGCTATTAAACTATGATGTAAAACTACCCTGAAATGTTTGTATGTACTGCCCCCTAGTGCCAGGAAACTACACAGTGCCACGTTCAAAAAGAAAAACAGGACAGGTAACATTTTTTTAAAATATGCAAGTTGTGTTTTGTTTTTTAAATTTAGAGAATATTATTTTGAGGCTGATATGAAATAGATTTGTTTTGTTTCTCATGCACCTGCACCAGACTAGACTACAGGTGTGTACTTAACCATAACCTGCGTGTACCGTTACACCCCTTCTTACATCACAACATGCCCTTTTCTAATCAAACTCTAGTTTTTGTTCATAATTGAAGAAGTCACCTTAAAAGCGTGAGGAGTACTTACGACTGACAGGCGAAGGCCATCCCACAGATGGGGAAACAGCGAAACACACCCTCCCAGCGCACCACATTGACCTGCCCTAGCCACCAGCCGCTGAGCAGCCCGTGTTTGAACGAGGACAGCACCATCTGAGGGGAAGGAGGCGGGGAGGAGGAGGGGAAGTTACAGCCCAAACCAAATGAACACAGGTGGAGAGGGAGGACACGGACAGCAGAATAAGAGGAGGTGAAGGCGGGGAGGCTGGATCCATGTCGACAGCTCGCACATTTTGATAGTAATGAGTGAAGGAAAGAAAACAAATAAGAGAAAATGAAAAAAGTGGAATAAAAGAAACTGTATGCTGGACGGAAAACCCTGTTTCACTGGATATATAGTTACGCTGAGTAAACAAGTGTGGACGGAATACTCTAGAGAAACCCAGCAGGTTTTTCGCCAGCATGCATTTCCTCCGTCTTGCTCCTTTCACTGCCTGATAAACACCTCCACACCGAGCTAGCTCATTCTGGGTCGCTGGATGGAGGGCAGCAAAGTTATGTTTAGTTCACCATGTTTAACGCCTCTGCCTTGTTACTACTGCCACCAAAGACACACACACACACACACACCCCCAGATGAGTCAAACCAGAACTGAAGGGGAACAATGCGGATGAGGAAAGTGAACAAAGGCATGAGGAGGGTTTACGGAGTGTAAAGTTGCAGGGGGAAACCCACTGGGCTTCCTTCACTCTCCACCCCTCCCCCACTGCCCTACAGTGGTGATTGTTGAGGGGTTTTACTTACGGGTGACAGCAGAAGGTTGTGGCGATAATGGGCAGGCACTGAATGACGCCCTTGAAGCGCCACAGGTGCACCTGCTTCACCCAGGAGCCCGAGATTAAGCCGTAGCGCAGAGACGACAACACTATCTACAGCACCAGAAGCGGGGGGGGGGGGGGGGGGGGGTGTACACGTAAAGGTGCAGAGGGTGAGACGGGGAAGACAGGACAAGGAAGAAAGGAGAGGGAAACAATGAGGTTGTATACGAAAGAGTGAGAAAAGAGGGGAATGGTTAGGGGCAGGATGGAAGAAGGGAGGGAAGGAGATACATTATTTGTTAGAAGGGTGAGAGGTTCTGGCCGGGTCAGGCCTGGGTCTAGCGCCGGACACACCACACCAGGGTTGTAGGTTATCAACATGCTACACCACTCAGAGAGAACATGGCTTGGAAGCAGCACTGAGGTTCAGTAAAAACAAGGGTTGTAAACATCACGTGTGTGTACGCTTAAAGAGTAAACAAGCTAAACCACATGGGCCAGAAAACTGCTGCTGAACTCTCAGGGTCCAGACCGGTCCAGACCAGTGCAGGCCGGCTGAACTGTTTAAAGCAACACCACATCATCTATTTTAGACTCACAGTCATGTTTCTTCTTTTCTTATTGAATTTGCATCAAGTCTTCTTCTCACTTCTCCGATGAAGTAAACTCACACCCCATTCTCAACCAGCCAGCATCTCCTTGTATGAGGTGGGCCGAATAGCTGAATCTGGCATCATGGCAGACGCGTCTCAGGCAGGACAATCATGAACCACGTAGGACAATGCCTTTAAACGCTGCCAGTTAGTATCTGTTTAATAGGGAGTGTTATTGCGGCTATTTGACATTTACATATTATATTTTATTGGAATGATCAAACTCTGCTCAGAAAAAATTCTTAAACTGACAGAATTGATCAGAAATGATCAGGAATCATCAAATAATTCTGAATTATCCTGACACACCAGAAGAAATTAGGTAATATTCCAAAATACCGTAATGAAGTGTTTATAATTGCTGCTGCCGTTAGACACACGTAGGTAGCCTGATTAAATGTTTAGGTAGTTAGTGAGAGCTAACACAGCTGCTGCAGCACGGCCCCAGCTGTGTGTTGGACTACTGTTATTAACCACTGTTAAGAGCAAATGTCATGTCTTCTGGTGCTTCAGTGCTGCTCAAACATACAATAACAAATGTTCTTCCTTACGTTTGAATGATAGCATCCTGGTGCCCAGATCAATCGAAATGGTAAAAATGCTTGAATGCTCTTTGCTCAGACACCATTTCTTATGAATCACTGACAAAATGTGTGTGAAACTGTTAACAGTCCAGTTGATAGTTTTCAAGACATTTCTCTGTGGCAAGATTTTTGCATGTTTAGGCGGGAAACAGCCGCGGCCGCACGACGACTGGCTGCTGGGCCGCACCGCTGCTCAGTGAGACTGTAGGAAGCTGTGTGCTTCATCTCAGAGTCTCCTCACCGCTCACGGCCGCCACACACTCAGAGACATCTGAGTGTGAACCACAGACCGGACTGGGTCAGATATGAAAATGATAACATACAGCTGTCATGGCCCCTCTAAACTGGCTCCCAATTGATTTTAGGATCTAATTTAAGGCGCTACTTTTTGTTTCTACGTCTCCAGAGAACAGCTCCTGCTTATTTATCTGACCATGTGGTACGGTGGCCACCTGCTTGTGAGCTTTGGTCACTGCTGGTACTTCCACAGGTGAGATATGGTGAGGGTAGAGTGGGGCTTCGCAATATGGCCTAAAATCAACATCACAATACATCGAGGAAGTCACTTCAATAACGATAAATGGCTGATAACTACAGGTATGTGCAGAAACAAGGTGTCCAATAAATGGTGGACGCCTTGTGAATCACATTGAGTTGCTTTTTCACGTGACTCGAGATGGAACAGCTTCTTAATGGGACAAGAATATCGCCAACCTGCACACATGCGTATTTTAACTTTTTTTTATTATTGAATTGACTGCCAAGCCCTAGGGTAGAGCCTTTGCATTTGGGGCCCCGAAGCTGTGAAATGAGCTTCCTTTGGACGTGAAGTGAAAACAGAAACACGTCTTTATACCACTGCCTTTCCTGGTAGCTAGTTGTTTTTAGCTTTTTAGTCGTTGCCTTTCAAATATCCTTTTAACAGCAGTTTTTTATATATATATATATATATATATTTAACATGGATGTTACAATTAAAATGAGAATCATCAGCAGCAGTTTTCTGTTTCAGGTGATTTAGGGCGGATTTGCTCTTTAAAAAGAGGAGCAAGACTTCTTTGTGTTGGTAAGTAAACAGACGGGCACAGCAACAATTAGCACAATTCAACAAAACAGCACTGGTCAGAAATATAACTGTAGAGGAGCTGAACTGTAAATAACATCAATCAGTAGTAAAACGAATGCTTCACACGGTTTTAGTTATAAAAGTTAAAAGCTTTAGTGCATGGGTGTTTAAACGACCACAAACACTGGTAATCAGCTGCACTAATAAAGATTCACTTGGTTCCATATGAAGCTTCTTTTTAAACCTCTGCTTAGGTTAGTTCTCACTCCACATTAAAGGGATATTCCACCTCTAGGTGAAAATGTGTCTGTTTCCATATTCCCCAGAGAGAGAGAAGTGAGAAAAAAGCATTTTGTAACCAGCGCAGTCATTCTCCTGGTCTGGCAGCCGTCCGTCCGCTTTAGCTTTTTATGTGCAAAAGTGATTAAAGCGACTCAATGATGACACCAATTATTCCTGGTGAGCTCAATAATCATATCGACTGCAAATGAAAAGTAAGAAGTAACACGGAGGATTTGCAGGCGCTGATTTAGACTTGGGACTACATTACGACAAAGCACCGTTGTAACCCGCCGCTGCATGGCACACGGCTATAACACAGCGGCTCTGTGCCAGAATACGCTGATCTTTATTAGTGCAAACTTGAACCTTTTTAACCAGCTTTGGGTTTTATTTAGCGTTTTGAAAACGTAATTAATAATTTTTTATATTTTCTTCTGATCAACGCCTGTTAAAACCAAAGTACTCTATGCTACAGCTCATCCACACACACACCAGTATGGGACGTGCTGGGCTCACCGTGAACATGAAGAGGGTGTAGAAGATGAGAGCCATGGCTGAGAAGGACTGGATGGAGGACATCATGTTCCTCTGCAGACTCAGGGGCAGAACGATGAACAGCGACACGGCGATCAGCAGCAGCACACGGAAACTACCGGTCACCTTCAGAGGAGAGCAGGAGGGACACGAACGTACACCTGGATCTGATCCGTGATAGCAAATGTGCAGATGTGCGAAAGAGCTGAAGTCCAACCTGTAAACCCATCAGCTGAGCAAAGAAATTTGAGCCCAGGTCAGCGATGACAACGTAGAAGGCGATACACGTCCCCAGCATCAAGCCGATCATACTGTAGGGACAGAGGACGTATTCAGCTGATGCATAATAAATACTCCAGCTCCCTCACATATAGATTACGAACATGCAGGAAATAAACTTGCTGTGTTCTCAGTATGGATGTTGAAACGGGAAGGGTCATTAAAGAAGCATACCTGGTTTCCACCAGAGTTTTTCCTACTTTTCCATAAGCATGGAAAGCTGCAGAGAGGGAACAGGAACCAGAGTGACGATTACATAAACAGCTGAGAACACGTCACCAGCATAGCTGTTTATTTAACTTCTGTTTTGTGACAAAGTAAAAGCTGCTTTACACACCCAGTCCAGCGTAGGTCCTTCGTTTAGTGGTGCTGGCTGTGTTCACCAGGAACATGCAAGACTTGTGGGTCATCCAGGAGCAGAAGAACAGCAGGAAGGTGCCCAGCACTATTCCACACTGAGAAAAAACAGAGGCAGAGGTCATCACACCAACACCCATGAGCTGTTTCAAACTGGTGACCAGATCAAATACAACCACTGCTCATTTTATACCATTACATCAACAAAAGAGCAAAACGTGATGCTCAGCTTTGTAATGATTCCTAAAGTTAAAGCACCACACAAAATATAAAACACCTTCCAGCTCTGAGTGGCATTTACAGCTCAACCTGCAGAGTGATTCAGGTGTAATAATGAGAGATACGCCTAAATAGCAGTATTTTGCATGACAGCAGATGTTTATTATTCTCATTAAAATCTGTTTGCTCTCCTTTGTTTTGTTAAAATATAGTTTTAATTCTTTCTAAAGAACTATTGTCTTTGTCCTGATCTCAAAGTGTACAATCTGTGGCTCCTGTAGCACCACAGATCTATCCAGTCATTCTGCTTTTTCTGCTAGATGTAGGCGTTTCTGATCACCCGTAAGGCCCCTGTAACTCTGATCATGTCTGCACGTCCTGGTTTCCTGATCTGACTGGATCCAGCTGTTTGTGTCAGTGGTGTAAACATTCTGAGCTGTAGTGTGAATACAGGTCGGCTCTCCCGAGTGCATGCTGTATTTTTATAGTTCATGGAGCACAAACCCATCCTGTAACTGAGCAGGATGTAGTTATAACGTGTAATTGGGACTCAGCCCACCTGTTTGAAGCAGAAGGGCATGGTGAGCACACTGACTCCAACGATGCTGTTCACCACGTTCATGATTAGGCCCGAGTTAGACGCTGTCATCTTCAGCTGCTGGGTGACCGTTCTTACTCAGGAACAAGGAAAACCCGAGCCAGACTGGTCGGGGACAGCAGCAGCGGAGGTTGCTCGCGGTCTGCTTCACAGCGACGGCCGAGGGTTTGTTGTTCTGGCTGAGAGGTAATCGGTGACGTGGCGCTCTGAGAGGAAACAGAAATACAGCTACGTTTACCGCACTTTCATCTCTAGTTCCGCTTCAACACAGCCTCCCGTCAAACGTTACTTTAGTGTAATAAAATGCTAACAGAAGAATAATAAACTATGAAATAACCATTAATATTGCTGCTAACTTACCGCCCTCCACCTCGCTGTCCTGCTACGTTATCATCGGTAATCCCGCGAGCACAAGCAAGCGTCGTTTAGAAATGGCTTTTTGTTTGTGTAAAAGCAGAAGGTAAAAGGAAAAATGTGTTCATGGGAAAATAAAAACAAATCCTGGTGAGCTGTTTTCCAGCACGCGTATCCAGGAAGTGCAGCTTGTAGACGAGTGGGGAGGGACGAGAAGACAAGCAAGCGTGTTGCTTTCAGGGCCGCTGAAATACTCGCGCGCCCCCTAACGGCCTCATAGTGTTTTACACCAGACACACTGCTGCTGTTGCTGTTGGACAAATCTCAGCTCTCTCTAACTGTTGTTCTCTACTTCATCCTGATTGCAGGCTGTTTCTCAACTTCTGCTGCTCAGATTCCAACATCTCATCCCCAGGGGGAGTCCCACATCATATCTATATAAATATACATGACCAGAAGGGCATACATCACCCTGCTTCTCCTCCAGCTTCACTGGCTGCCAGTCAACTTCAGGGTTCATTTCAAGATCCTGGTTCTGGTCTACAGGGCCTTACATGGACAAGCACCATCATACGTTGGTGATCTTCTCAGTCCCTACACCCCCAGTAGGTCCCTGAGGTCCAGTGACCAAAGCCTAGGGGGTGTGCAGCGCACCAGGCTAAAGACCAAAGGTTCCTGAAGCAGATCATGGCTGCTGTGGCCCCCAGACTCTGGAGTTCTCTCCCTCCCTGAGCCTGAGATCAGTGGACTCAGTGGTCTCCTTTAAAAAGCAGCACCGCCCTCTCCTCATTCTGCTCTTTCTACCATTGCGGCCTTTCCCAGAATCCACTGATTACTTTTTTTAAATTCATTTTCTCTTTCTATCTCTTCACAATTTGTATGTTTCCATGTTTTATTTATTTCTTAACAAATCTTTTAAATTTTAAAAAATTTTGTGCATGAGAGGCACTTGTTTCTTCTTCTTCTTCTTGTTTCTTCTTCTTTATATTGATTTTTTGTGACCTGCTGGAAATGCCAAACCCTTATTTTCTAAAGCACAAGAACAACTGACTTGATCTCATGCAACTCAATGCCAACAGCATGCCGGTGCATCAGAGCAAATCTAATATAATAAATGAGATGTGCTTTTGAGATGTTAGCGATTTTACATTTGAGGATATTTTCTTGCAAGTGCTTTGGTAACCTTCCCCCTGAGGGACCTTCACTTGTAAAAGAACATTTTAACAGTGTTATATTTACTTAACTAAAGCACTGACAGACCTGCTCAAATCCTGTTTTTCCAGAGGCCCGAGATATCCCTTTCAGGAAAAAGGAAACAAGCTCCAGAAAAAGACCAAACGTGGATGACGTGGGAAAACAGCCTTACACCTGAAACGGTCTCTGCACTGACCCGGTTGGTTTCCGTTTGGAAAAGAGCCTGCCTGGTGCCCTCTGTGATATTGTGTCATTTGACCAGGAAAGCGAGGGGGTATGGGATGTAGGGGGGTGTTGCCCCGAGAGGGATGTGATGGAGGGAGGCAGAAGGGGAATTCTGAACTGAAGAGGGCCATGTGTGTATTTCAGACATTTTTTTTACTTTAACCTTTTAATTATTGTGACTTTTTCCCTCTGAAAATCATGTTTGACATCTATCCTCCCAGTTGAATGATGTTCCTTATCTTATGTGTGCATATGCATGACTGTGTGTGCATGTGTGTGATCAGAAAGGTTAAGACAGGAAAGCCCTGGCCATTGTGCACCGGTGACCCCTCAAAATCAATGTGACAGAGCGGCTGATTGGCTGGAGGGTCCTGTCTCTCTGCACATAATCCCTCAAGGCCTCAGCTTGTCCTGATGTGTGTGTGTGTGTGTGTGTGTGTGTGTGTGTGTGTGTGTGTGTGTGTGTGTGTGTGTGTGTGTGTGTGTGTGTGTGTGTGTGTGTGTGTGTGTGTGTGTGTGTGTGTGTGTGTGTGTGTGTGTGTGTGTGTGTGTGTGTGCTTGTGTCTTTCTGCACCTAATCCATCCAGATTGACCTCCGGCCGTGGGACGGGGTATTAGTGCAGTTACAGGGGGTCAGGACCGCTTGTGTGTGTGTGAGCTCGAGTGTGAGCACTACTCCACAGTAGTCCAATTAGGCTGCAGAGTGCCCCTGTGTTTTTGACGAGGCTCGGTTTTTGGTGGAGTTGGGTTTAGGGGGCCAAGGACGAGCCGGGTGAGCAGGAAGGGGGACCAATTTCAGGGCAGATTTGGACGGATAACCCAGTTGGGGAGAAATTGGCATCTGGATTTGACCTCAAACCCTCAGTGTGACCTCTGGGTCACTCGGGAGTCGCAGGGCACAAAGAGGAGCGCTGACCCTGCAGAGGTCAAGCATGCGGGCGGCTGAAAGGACGCCTTTGTGGGGCCTGGCGTGCTCAGGATTTCCCATGAGCACCAGGGGGACTTTCGTCTGCCCAGGAAGCTGAAGCAGAGACTGGGCCAGACAAGGTGTGTGACGATGGAAACCATAATTGTGTTGTGTTTATATTTCTGCTTGTTTGATTATCACCGACTAAAGATGGACTGTGATTGTATTAACCCCCAAATGACTTGGTGTTAGTTTGGTTTTGTGTATTTTCTTCTTTCAGAGCCCTCAGTCAGGCCAGGAGGCCTCGTGTTTGGATGTAAAAAAAAAAAAAAAATTAAGAATTATTCCAGCTTTTCCCCTTTTTTTTATGTCTGAAAGTTTTTGAGACATGTCATTTTTTACATGTGTTTGTGTTTGGGTCAGGAAAAGATGCGCAGCTCCGCTTTTGGGGTATGCCTGCGGTTCCTGCTTGTGTACGTCTGTTAGCGCCTCCTTAATGAGCACATGCACGTTCCCTCCGGTCCTGTGTGTGGCCCTCGGAGAGGCAGAGCGAAGCCCTCTGCTCCAGTAATCACATTTAATTACGCAGCAGCATTAGACGGCCCATGAATGGGTTTTTTAGGCAGGCCTCTCGCTCAGAAATGGGCTGCATCCAGCTGAACATTGCCCACCTTTGTCTTGCCTATCCCACTATATTCTATTAAGACTTTGTCATTTGACCATCATCAAAGCAGCACGGCCCAGCACTAACAACCACTGGGACTAATGCTACACATTAAAAATGTGAAGGTAAAGGCAACAATAGACGTTTTCTTGGCTGAACAGCCAGCGTCTGCCCCATTAATGAAGCAAATGGACCACACATTAGACCCCCATCCACAATTACATTGCACCTAACATTGCAGATAAAGGATGTTTAGTCTCAGGGAAAATCCTCCAGCTCTCCATATTCTAAGGGTGCTTCTTTTAGAGGATTCTTACACTGCAACAAAACCTCTAAAACGTTTTTCTTGTTGTTGTTGGATGACGTTTTGCAGCCTGGGAGAAGTAGGCCTTTCAGTGACAATCTCAACACCAGTCATGATGTTTGCATTGTGCTACAAGGAATTTTAGAAAATGTCGGAGGGACCGGTGGCGCCAGTGCTCGGCAGCCTCGCCTTTGTCAGTGCGCCCCAGGGCAGCTGTGGCTACATTGTAGCTCATCCCCACCAGTGTGTGAATGTGTGTGTGAATGGGTGAATGACTGATTGTGTTGTAAAGCGCCTTGAGGGGTTCTAGGACTCTAGAAGGTGCTATTTCAAATACAGGCCATTTACCATTTTCCATTTAAAAGAAATGTGAGAATGACTTCTTTAAAGCTCCAAATTGCAGCAAAAGACAAAATAAAGTACAAAGAAATGTTAAAGCTGCAGCCAGTGGCTCATCAGGGTCACCACAGTAGCACGGTCGTGTCACTTCCTGACAACACAAAGTAAGCCTCTAACTTACACTGTGCAAAAACTATCGTTTGTAATAAATAACTGTCTCACCCATGAGCAGTTCTCTGATCATTAACATCTGCGTTTTTCTGCAAACTCCACCTTATGTAATGCTACTAAAGTCAGAGCTCGCTGATCCTGACTGTTTTCCAGAGCTGCAGCAGAAGAGGCAAATAAAGCTCACGCTAAGAATAGAGAATTAAAAAATAGTTACACCTGAAATTGTCACACAAGCACATTTATTAACACATTAACTATTTATTTATTTATTTATTTATTTATTTATTTATCAGTTATGTTTATTTTCCAGCGCATGCTGCTTTTTATTCTCCCAGGAATTTTGCAGGAAAGAAGCAACAGTGGGAATTTTAAAACACTTTCCATTCTTGCAAAGTTTCCAGCAAACTACGTAACGCTAATAATCTCCTCGTCACTTTCAATGTTTGCTTTCAAATCCTCTCTCTTGACTGGAAATGAAACTTTTTCCGTACATCAGAGGCGCATTTAGAGAGAGCCCAAAAGGCTGTAAACTCAGTGTTTTCATAAGGCCAGACTCATAAAGAGAAGAGGTGACAGAGCAGCACTGATGCCCGACACACACACACACACACACACACACACACACATACACACACACACACACACACACACACAGACACACACACACACACGCACACATGCGCGCACACACACACACACACACACACACACACACACACGCACACACGCGCACACACACACGCACACATGCGCACACACACACACACACACACACACACACACACACACACACACACACACACACACACACACACACACACACACACACACATCACTGCAGCAATCACACAAGCACACACTCATACAGTATGTAATGTGTAACACCAACGCTCCTACATGTGTGTGCATTAACACACATGGGGGGGGGGGGGGTGAATGGTACGTTTGACTGGAACAGAATGACTGCAGGGATTCATGCTGGGTTTGCTCCATTAAAGCCGCTGTGAGGCTCTGCTGTGTGTGAGGGTGCTGACGTCCTCTGCCCACCTCGGTGATCTACGGCCTGTGTGTTCACGCAAAAATTCTCTACCTGTTCCCGGTGATCTACAGCTCCAGGGGACGGTTTATGTACCCAACATTTGTGTGCATTTGTGTGCGTTTAAATCAACGCTTGCGAGTGAGCGTGTCCACGTGCTGCTGCATGCTCCACAGACTCAAAAGGCTTCAGCACACGGAGGGGAGGGAAATTCCTCCAAACAGGGCGGCTGCAAAAAATCTGCAGCAAAGCTCGGTGATAATTTACAGTCCGAGTAGGGCCGCAACCGAAGGGGACTCGGTGAAAGGGTGGAAACGGGACAGCCCATATATCTCCCTGTAATTGACAGGGTTTTGGGCCCACTGCTGAGCTCAGAGCCAGGAGAGACGGAGT